AGGACAAGGATTTTCATGGCTCAGTGTTCTAATTTGTTTGACTGTTTATTTCCAAGGAACACATCCAAGAGTGACAAGCTCCATTTATTTCAATGGGCAGCATATGCCAGCAACGTGAATGGCGTACGCTATAAAGGAGAATGGATGTTCTCGAGCATCCTAGAAAGCTGTCCTTTCGACAGACAGAGGACGTGTAGGTAATGGAAGTGCAGCTCTGCTCTGACAAGCAACACCATAAAAGCAGCATTGTGGGTTCTCATGTTTGATGTCTCCCCGTGGCAGCTCTGTGAGATTTACTCAGGCTACAAGTGAAAAATGACTTTCCTAATACCCGGGCCAGTGCTGGAGAAAGCAGCTGGATTCTTTCATTATTCTACTTTCCCAGGCCAGAAGGACATCTCCTTGGGACAAATGGACACTTCAGGGTGTTAGTGCTATAACCTTTTAAACTTTTAGGGGGTACACACCAACCCAGACTGTTCTCACAAATGACATCACCTTCAAATCATCATGTGACATGAGTATGAGATGTCCACACAAATAAGTACCTCCTCTCCATAAGATACCATCACATGGCAGTACTGTTTTCAGTCCTGTCTCTTCCTACTATACCCTGAAGATAATCCTTTTCTGAATCTTGCTTTTCCATAGCCCAATCCCACTGGCCTCTGGAAAACTCTGAGTTGTGAGGCCCTGTCACAAATTCAGCACCACTTATGATTTGATATTGTCTGGTGGCCTGTGACGCTTTGCTGTAAGTCTCATAGCAGTGGGCAACTTTTATTTGCTATCATTAATGAATTAACTAGTATTAGTTCTATGCTAGGTCTTCTCTAGTGAACAGTCTGGTTCATAAAGTTTTACTGGGTTGTCAGCAAGCCCTGAAAGTCAAATGGAGTGATTTTCTTCTTGCTTTTCAGTAAGATGGCCCTTACAAAGGTGGGATGTGTCTTTATTGATATTGAATCTTTCTCTGGACACCTTTCATTCTCGTTAGATTTAAGAAGTTGCTGGGAAGGAGCAGGTGAGCTGCAATGCCATCCATAGGAAACCACTTCCACTTCTCCTATACCTCCAACCTTGGGAGTATTGTCTCAAGACAAGTAAAGAGAAAGAGATGCTCATGGCTCCCTTCACAGCCCTCCAGCACAGCAAATTATAATCCCAGCTTCTCCTCCATGAGATGGCTGTCCACCTGTGCTTCAAGGCTCATGGTCATGGATTTAGACTGCAGTAAGGCTGCAGCCATACAATATCCCTGGATGTCTGTACAAACTGGAGACCCCTGTTGGGCCTCTGTTTTTCTTATTCACTCTTTCTTCATCGCGTGCAGCTTGTAGGTTGCAGTTTGACCTTTTACAGAGAAACCAAACCAATGCTACTCCTGCCATTGAGGTCATCTTTGATACAGTTTGGGAATCTCAGCTTGTCTTGATGTCAGTAAAGTACTTCCAAAGTGAAGAGACCAACCATAGACTTGCACTGGCCATGCCTATATTGGGGGATGCAAATCATAAGGTGGCCTTGCATCTATGCAGCTTTCTTTGGGACCATACTAATTCCCAACATGCAGGTCTCCACTTGTTGCAAGCTATTTCCTAAGGAAAAGACACAAAGAGCTTGAGGAAGAGCTTTAATCATCCCTCCTCTGTCAAAGTGGAACTTCTAGTTTCCATCAATTGCACTTTTAACCCTTAATATCTGATTGTTTCTGGTGACTTCCACACCTGGGCCAGTTGGCCCTGTGAATGTTAAGCTCTTGAAACCAGCTTCTTCCTCCAGCTTGAGTGGCGAGAGGCAGGAAAGCTCTCCGCTGGGAGAATTTGGCTCTGCTTCTGGGCCTTGGGGTTTTGTATGCTCAGACAAGAGACAGGCTGTCAGCTCCAGCATTTCTGACTGGCTTTTTAAGGCTAAAGATACAGAGACTACACCCTGAGTCTTGCAGCTGTTGGGAGATTTGCAGTATCACATCAGGGAGGTTTGGGTAGACATCCCAGGTCAGGGGTAGACAAGCCCAGGCCAAGGTGGGAGCCTCTAGATTTAACCCATCTGGGAGCAGAGCAGTGGTGGAATCACATCCCAGTGGCAGTAACCGGTGCTTTATGAGGTGTCAGAAATGTGCATCATAGCTGAAGGGCATTGAAAAGCAACTCTTTGGTCTTTTCCTGGAAATTAAAAGTAAAAAGCAAGCCACATGATGAGAGCATCTGTAGCAGAGAGCAAGCTGGCTCACATGAATTAGCAGCTTCCTGGCTGTTACCTATAGCAGCTGTAGCCAGCTACTTATTCCATCACCTGCAGCTTCTGTGGGCTGAGATCTCAGACTTACACCTTGAGAAGTGCTGGAAGTGCGCCCAGCACTGAGCTGTGGTCAAATAAGAGCTGAAGAAGGCCTCCTTCACAGTTTTCTCATTGAAGTGTGGGATGGTCATTTGATGGAATGGGACCTTGGGCCTTGCACTGTGGAGCACAGTGACCTTGAACTGCTCAGATCCTGATCTCCAAAGAGCACCTGTGAAAGTTACCGGAAGCCTGGGCTTAATGGAGATGTCTCCCAGACTCAGTGATTGGCATCTGAATCTTCCTGGCAGTCCCATTGTGGCCGAGGATAATTTGGCCAAGCACTTCCAAAAGCAGTGGAATCATGCTGGATATCTATGAAACCAGTACCAGTATGTGGGGTCAGAGCATCTACACAAGTGACAGCCTCCTGCTGCCTTGGAGACTTGTTATGGGAAGGGTAAGGGAGATAAATTGCTAAATTTCCCTTGGAGAAATGTTCACAAGGATCCCCTTTCAGGCATTTCTTTTCCTAGAGGGTCAGGTGACATGCAGGGAGATTGTATTCTTTGCTAGGGTATCTACCATTTTCAAAAAAATAGACAACCCCCCCAAATTATTTAGGCATGCTACTCATCTCATTAAGGTCCTGTAAATCATAATAAGTGCAGAAGCTCTCCCCATTTGGAGATCTCCCAGCCTGTTGCATATGGGTGAACTGCAGGGATCCCTACAAGTGTTTTCCTGCCGCCTCACCCCCACCCATCCTGCTGATGGGACCTGGAATGACCCATTGAGCTGCTGGTGAGCAGCAAGACCAGTTCTGCTCTGTCTCACTCACCCTCCTGCTGCCCCTTTGTGTGGGCTCTGAAGGGTGCCTACTAGCTCAAGCTCCTGTCACAGAAAAATCCCAACAGAAGACGACTATTACACCAAGAAAAGTGGCTACGGCCCCCGTTTGAAGGGATCTGCAGAGAGGGTGATGAGGATCAGAGTGGAGAAGGGGCTGCCATCTGGGAGGGACTGGGGCAAGACGGCAGCAAGAGGAGTCACTTTGGTCACAGGCGTCCCCTGGCTCTGGCGTGCAGGCCCTGGCTCCATCCAGCCTCTTGTGAGCAGAAAAGCCACAGACTCATGGCTGGCTCCCTCGCCTCATTGTCTGTGCACTGGAGCAGGGAGGGCAGAAGGCAAAGGGACCAGGGGGGCCTTTCTGCCCCCCCTGGCTCTGACAGGTCCATGACTGCCACAGATCGGGATTGGGGGTGGGTGGGAGACAGGACATGGGGACCACCAAAACAAATGAACTAAAAAAACAGTCTGATGATTCTCCACATGTTTGGTGTACATGATGCAAATTGATGTTTAAAGCTTATTTATTATCTTACATGCGAAATGCCAGCGGTGTTTTTCTAGATCAGTGGGTATCCGATATTTGGTCGGCGGGGAGACGACAGCAGTGGGAGCGAGCATGTCTAGAGACTGTATATCCAGAGGCTAGGGTTTATATCATGGGCTGCTCTCGACTGTTATAATTTGTGGCACAGATTCAGCGAGAATCTGATCTGCTGAAAATATTTGGGCTGTGAAAACTCCCACACTGTGACAGATGTCAAGTCCAATTAAGTGACTCGTGTCCAGGTTTCTGTCCAATAGGCTTTCCCATTAAATACCAATTTAAGAGGGAAAATATGCCGCCCCCTTTTCTCCGAGCCTTTATCTCTTCCGACCATCACTAGGCGAAACCCTTTGGTACGAGAAGGGGATCCACACGCATCTCCGCTCTGTCTGTCTATCTGTCTCGCCGTTGCCACCTTCCGCACCCCTCCTTGGCTTCTTTGCCACTCCGGGAGGGGTGGGAGGAGGAACTGCACTTTCTTTTTGTGCATGTGAGCGTACCTTTTCCTGCGCCGCCGTTATCTCTCGCAGCCGCTCCGAACCCGCGCCGAGATTTTCGTTTATTTTGTTTTGCTTTTCTTTTTCAGCGTTCGCATATTTTCCTTTATCCTTACTCGAAAGATGCAGGAGGAGTTAGGAAGCTCAGGGACGAACGGGGGTTTCGTTTATCCTTTTTTTTCCTCCCCTCGCCAGTTCTTGAAGGACTAGAAGAAAAACTAAACCAAACATTCATTTTCCGACGGCGTCTCTCCCCTCCTCCTGCCCCTCTCCGCCGGACCGGTGAATTAACAAAACCGCAGGTTAAAACCCCATCAAAAAAAAAAAAAAAAAAAAAAAAAAAAAAAAAAAAAAAAAAAAAAAAAAAAAAGAGAGAATAGAGAAGAAAGGAGGGAGCGACGCATTGTTACCCCGACCCGCGGCGTGCCTGCGCGCCGGGCCGCCGGCGGAACAAAGCGGCAGCGCGCGCCGGGCTCCGCGCCCCGGGCTCCGGCGTCCGGCCCGGCCCGGCGCGGCGCGCCGCCTGGAAAAAGAGAGCGACGGGGACGGGAGACAGGGAATAATCCCGAACGGTGCCGGTGCTGTCGCAGCATCCCTTTTGTTATTTATCGCGACCGGGGAAGAGGAGGAAGAAAAGCGGGGGAGACGGCACTTTTCCCTCTGTAAAACCGACTGGGCGCAGCCGCCGGGGCGCTTCATCCCGCTGCCCCGAATAAACGGGCGGAGGAGGACTTTGATGGGGGAAACGCTTTTTCCTCCCCTGATGCATCGTAAGTAACTTAAGTTGTTATTCCGCAAACAAACACGGCGATAACATCTCCTATCTCTGGAGCGCTGGAGGCCGCGGCGAGGGATGAGATCTGCCTTTACCCATCCGAGCAGGACACTTTTCCACTCGTAATTAATTTGATTTGATTTTGATTTTTTAATTTTTCCATGCTCCGCTCCCGGAGGGTCATTTGAACTCTAAAGGAATCGCCGAGGGGGCGAGGGGACCTGGAGAGAGAGGCTGTCCAAACGACTCCACCGAGGTAAGCAGCCTTAATAATATCTCCCTTTTGCAGGTAGCACGGGGGATGGATTTACTGTAATAACAACAACAACAAAAAAATAGAGACGGGGACAAAAAGTCTCTTTCTGGATCAGCTCGCTAAAACCCACCATACGGATAAAAACCCAAACCAAAGAGAAAAATTCAACTCACACTGCAGAGAAACCTCTAAGCAACTTTCTTCAGGAAGCACCTCTTTAATTGCCCGTTTTCGTACAACCGCGCTGCAAATCCTCCCTCTCTAGTGTGCTTTCACATGAGCCCCCTCGCTCGAATCCCAGCTGAAAGGTGATTTTAAACCTTTCTTATGCATCTTTTTGCCCCACGAGATCGCTGATACCTGACCTGCGCGCTAGCCGGGATTTTTCCCTACCCCTGCCTTGTGGGCCTGATTAGCGCTCCTTATTAAAAATCGAAGAGGAAGCGTCTCCGACGGCCCTGGCAAGAGGCGGCCCTTTCCCAGGGAAGGAAGCGCTCTCCTCTCGCCCTCCCCAGCGCTGGCCCCCTGCGCACCCCGGGGAGTGCCGAGCCCCGGCCCCCGTTGGAGCCCCGCTGGCCCGCCACGCGTGCCCTGCTTCTCGTCCCGTGGGGGGAGGCTTGGCTCTAGCCCTGCCTGGGAAGAATTACTCCTGCCCGTATTATTATTATTATTATTATTATTATTATTATTATTATTATTATTATTATATTTTTCCCAACCGGGTCTGCTGCCCGAGTGTGACTTTCCCTGGAAACTTTATGTGGAAATACTTGACAGTCTGAACTCGGGGGAAGGGAGGACGCGATGTTCCCTCCTCCCTCGGTCTCGCTCCCCACCTCACTCGACACCCCAGCCGTAAACACACACACACACACATACACGCGCACACACATTTGTGTCCAAGGTTATTCACTAGTTGCCTGATGTATTGTTTTATTACATGCCGGCATGTCCACGGACGCGCTCGGATTTGTATTGCTGTCTACATGACAGATGGTGCTCTGTGAGGCCGCAAGAAGATACGATTCAATTTTCTTTTGAAAGGCACGTTCGCGTTTATTTATTTATTTATTTAGCCTCCCCCCCTTTTCGCGCAGGGAGGGGAGAGGAGGGAAAATTTAAAAGGATGGAAAAGTTCTGCCGCAGCTTTGGGGTTTTGTTTCTTTTTGAATCCCACGCTTAGAAAACCGAGACTCTCCCAACATCCCCATTTGGCAACTGGTAAATCGCTATATGCACAATTAGCAGCAGGAAAAGTAAAAAAAAAGAAAACAGGAGTCCAAAGAAAAGAGTGGAGGGGACAGCCCAGCAAATACATCAGATCCCGTAGGGACTGGGGAAATAAATCTCCCCACTGGCCTTGTTATGCATGAGGAACCTTGATCTGTGTATTTAAAAGCATCATGTCTGTAGCCTGGATCCCGTAGAGGGTTACCGAAAGAGAAATGGTTAAGCAGAAATTGGTAGGCCAGAAAATGGCCAGAAAATTCGGGGTGGGGGACGGGAAATCGACATAATATTGAGCCACTGGATATTAGCTTGTTTGAAAAAAAAAATATATTCTATTACTGCTCTCCGGGCCTGTTCCTACACCCAAACAAGCGCCCGGAATAACGGCAGGGAGTATATTCCGCTGAAGCTGCCGTCAGACTCTAGAAAGGGAATGGTTAAATGAGGGGGCATCGTTTACCCCGATATTCCTCCCATTAGTACTCCTTGAAGGAGCCGCGACCCGCCCTCCCGCTGCCGGCCCGGCTCTCCCTAAGGCGGTACCGGTGCCGGGGGCAAGGCGCGGGGACCGGCATGTCCCTTGTGTCCGTGCCCGTGTCCCTGCCCCGTGCCTTGCCCCTGTATCCCCGGTGTCCTGACCCGCTCTCTCCGCTTTCTCTGTCCCGGGAAGGCTCCTCCGCCCCCTCCAAGATGATGCTTAGCCCGGACCAAGCCGCCGACTCTGACCACCCCTCCTCGGCGCCCTCCGACCCGGAGTCCCTGGGCGGCGCGGACGCCCAGGCTCTCAGCTGCTGCGTGTCCGACCCGGAGCCCGCCGAGGGCGGCGGCGGCGGCGAGCGCGAGGCGGCGGCGCGGGGGTTGTCGGCGGGGAGGCGTGGCGGGGCCGGCCGGGGTGCACCGCCGCGCTGAGGCGGGATGAGAACGGCGGCGGCGCCGCGCGACGGCCAAGTACCTGCCGGCCCCGCACCGTGAGCGGATGCCGCGTGGAGGCTTCAACCTGGCTTCGCCGAGTGCGCAAAGCTGCATGACCCACACTGCCCCCGAAAGAAGCTCTTCAAGATCGAGATCCTGCGCTCGCCATCATGCTACAGTCTCCTATCAGTCAACCACGTGCTGGACGTGTAGCGCCGGGCGGGCCCCGGAGCCCGGGACAGCCCCCGCAGGCCCCGCTCCGGCGCCGCGGGCAGCGCCTTCCCGGGGCGGGCGGCGGGGCGGGGGGGTCCCAATGCCTGCCCTCCCTCCCCGGGGGTGCTCCCGCCCGGCCGAAAGCCCGCTTTTCGAAGAGAAGTGTAAAACCGGATTGTTTCTTCAGGCTGTCAAGTGCCCCTTTATATATATCCAAAAACATCTACTTGTGACCTTAAACGTGTGACCCATGGGTGCAGTTAAAAATAACTATTTTTTATTTATGGTAGAAGGAGTTGACAATTTATTTTTTTCAAGATTTATTTATTTTTCAGAGTGGTGGCAATTTTACTTTGGATACTTCGTGCCAATTGGTTTCTATAGTCGGGTGTTTACACTTTCTTCTGTGGAATATTATGTTTGACTTTATGAGTGTTTGTTGGGATCAATACAGTGGTCATTTTCTTTTCTTTTTAATTTATTTTTTTCCCTCCAATTATATTGCACTTGTGTACTACAAACCTCCCCTCCCCTCCTGTTTATAAGTATATTTTATATATATCAAGGCATTTGTTCTTGACCTTTTTTCTTTATTTTCTTGTGTGGGATTGACAACCACTAGCACTTAACTAGAAGAGTTTTTTTAAAAGATTTGTTGTTACTCTGATCTATAGTTCTGTCTGAAAAGTACTTTGCAAATCGCTTATAAGGGAAGTAGTTTCTTTGTGAGTGTATATGTGCGTGTGTGTATACATGCATGTGTGTGGGAGTGAGCGTGGGCGTGTATGTGTGTGGTATATTTTTAGGAAAGGACATTTTTTCCTAAAAAAAAAAAGAAAAAAAAAAGAAAGAAAAGTAAATCCAGGACTGCTTTCCTTTGTGACAACCAAAAAAAAATCTATAACCTGAAAATGTTTCATGTTCTTTGCTGTGAATCTCTTAAAACAAGAAGCGCATTCTAGGGACAAAAGAGAAAAAGAAAAAACACATCTGCTATCCAAAGATTTTAGTCTTTTTCAGGGTTTTTTTGTGTGTCTCTGTTGCTTTATATAATGCAATATTTTGTAGTGAAAATAGATAAATCTGGTTTCTATCTGATGCGTTTTTCATATCTCTCATGAATGGTGAGCTGTTTTGCATATAAATAAAAGTATCAAATAAAAGCTGTTTTTTCCTAATTATTTTTCCCGTTGGTCTTTCTGTAAGACAGAGATGTGGTGCCCCTATGAATAAGGATTGCACAGGCTTCTCAAGTCGTGCGTGAGAAAGCTTCAACAGGTTACCTGCCTCTTCCTAGGGAGACTGGACTGCAGTCCTTCCCCCACATCTCCCTTGCTCCAGCCACTCTCAGCTGCCTGCCCTGCCAGAAATGCAGAGGAGAAACAGGACCCTTGCTGTCACTTTTTCCCAGTCACATCTTGACTGGCATCTGGTCATACATTTCAAAGTTCAGGCTGTACAATCCAATCTGATGCTTGCAAGCACCTGTTTTACCACCTTGCTCTTTGATATGTCTGACTTTGCCACCCAAATGTACATGTTTCATCCTGCTTGAATGCACTGGATTTTCTTGCTCTTGTTTAAATTCAGCTTTAATCCCTCTCTGGCCAGGTCTAATTCTACTGAAACCAAGGAAAAATCTTGAGCCCTTTCCCTACTTTAGAAAACCTCAACCATACCCTTTTATATAAGGCTTCACTGCCAAATCTTGTCATTTGAAACACAGAACAGATACAGACTCGATGGCAGACAGGTTATTACCTGAGTAATGTGAGATCTGTATACCATCCCATTTATTAAATCCTTTTCTTGTTTTCCACGAGAGGTTAATTTTACCTATAATTTGAATATTGCCGTTGACTCTGGAGGCTGCATCATCCATTGTTACTTGCTTTACCCTCCCCCCATCCTATTTTTATGGCTGACACTTTGCACAGCAGTTTAATTAAGTGTGATCTTGACCAATTGAAAAGCTCCATGCAGAAAACCTGTCAGAGACGCTGCTAATTCCACTTTCTACCAAGTGGGATGCTTGCCACGTCCCAAAGGAGCACACATTGGTTTGGTAGTTCAATGCACAGTTTTCAAGTCCTGCATCTTTTGGGGCTGAAATAACTCCACCAACTTTGGAGCTGGTTTCCTTTGGGACAGGCTTGTTTCTTAGGTTCAATATCTGGCACTGTGTAGAGTTTGATGGCAATTGCCCGAGCAATATTATAAATCCTGCTATCCAGCAAGCCTTCATGCTACCAGCATTTGTGAGGACCTAGTTAATAAAAAGATAACCATATTATTTCCTTCTTGACAGTGAGGAATGCATGTTTTAGGGAAGAGAGTGCTCTGCAATACCTGACTGTGAAATAGGGTGGCTGCAGTCACTGGCAGTTGATTCAAGCACACTGGTTGTGGGATAAGTAGGTGTGAACCCCACATTCCCCCTGGCCTCACTTCCCCCTCTGGGGGTCTTGCACATGTGTCAGGGCTGAGATAATGCTCAAGCAAGCTCCATGCAGTGAAGGTGTTGCAGATCAAGAAGCACTTACTAGCCCAGGGTCTCAAGATCCCAGCCGTGGGATGCCCAAGTGAGAAGCCAGTGAGGCCCCAGTGTTGCGAGCACAGAAGTGTGCAATGTGGACATGTGTGGGAACAGCTCAGATTTGGAAGTAAGAAAATCTTGTGGGTTGTTACATTTCTACCACCCCCTGAAACAACAGAGAGCCCACTTGCACTCAGAGAGAGGGCAGGAAGGGCTTTGCTTTTGGTGGTATCCACAGGATCAAGGCTCAAGTTTAACCTGCAGAAGGGTCAGGGCACCTGACCTGAAGATATGTCCTTTTCTTCCTAAGGTTGATATGATGGAAGACATTGCTTCTCCCTACAAGTCCTGTTTCACTTTCATACGCCCACCACCTTGTTTATATCCTCTCACCACCATAACAGCACCCCAACCACTTCTTTTTTTCCTGCTGGCACCAAAAAGGAAATCCTTTGTCATCTAGCAGTTGATAAGTGTTGAAAACAGAATGTAGGTTTTGCTTTGCCATTCCACCCCTTTTGTTTATTCTTGGGAAAGAGCTGAGTAGTATGTACATGATACAAGGCCAATATAATTCAAAAGCTGCATGGCTGTGTTCAAAAGTCTGGATTTATGACAACTTTAACTCCACCTCACTGCAAGTCTGAGTTAGATGGCAATGAAGTCTAATTATACAATCAAAATTACTTTGCCTATATCTATGGTTTCCTCATCAATAAAGGAATGAATAAACTTGAATGACAATAGGAGGAATGGGGTGGAACTGCTCAGTGGAAGTTTGTATCATGTGTGGCCAATCCAACAACTGGCAGGGAAGAGACACAGTTAATATTTCCTATTTTTTAAATTACATTCAGATACCTTTCTTTCACAACTAAGGAGGAGGTCATCCTACAGACCATGAAAGTGCACTCAAAGACAGAGAAGGCAGAGCACTACCTCTGGACCTTTAGCTACCTCTAACAGAGGTACCTCTAACAGAGGTACTTTAGGCCTGACTCAATCCAATACATAAAACATTGCATGGAAACCGCCAGCATTCACAGAGAACAAGTACTTCCAATAGACAGATCTAGAATATCCCAGTACAAGGGATATCCAGTGCACCCTTAACATGAGGTGATAACACCCATTAAGACACTTTTTCAGACCTATATAGACTCACAGGGACTTGGGGCAAAATACACATTCACATTGGTATGATTAGGGCATCTAATGCATTCATCTGAACCCTGGAAACAGATCCTGATCCTGATACAGCAAATGAGGACAGACAGTAAGCCAAAAATAACTCCTACAAATGAACATACTGATTTCCATAGGACTGTACAGCTAAGGGAGGACTGTATCTGAGTATCATACACTTTCCTAAGAGATTAAAACACCTAAAGCACAAAATATTCCAAAATGTGGGCTTGCATTTATGCTGCTATTACATATGCACATATAAAAGAAAGACTTTCTAGCCATAGACAGTGACTCACCAGCAAAGTGTATGGTACCCTGTGCATTCAGGATCACACTACTCCCCAGCCACAGAGTAGTGTCTTATTGCTTGTGTTAAAAAGTGAGTGAGTGAGATAGGATATTACCACTGCCACAGCAGATAAGTTCTGAGGGTCTTGGATGCGATTTGATATATTTGCTGTATTTCTAGCAAAGAGTATGTGCGTATGTATGAGAGAGAGGTGGGGGGGTAGGGAGCTGAAGAGGATGTGGTATATGAAACTCAACAAAGAAATGGACCTTTTCCATTATATAGCTGTGAGGAAATACCAGCAACATTTTATCTATCTATTCACATATCTACCCATCTAGCCATCCTGTAACCCAATTAACCCAGTTCTTTTAGGGTGAATAGATGTGTTCTGATATTAGCCATTATTTTTCACTACTCTCAGTTTATTCTCCAGGGTGGGACAGATCAATAAGCGCAGTAGCAACCGACCCAAAAGGAAAAGGCAATCTCCCAGTGCTTCTTATTTATTTCTTCAGAGTCGATTTCGTTTTTCCTGCCTCTTCCCCTGGTGACGGATTTTGCCTTTCCTGCCCAGAATGGCCGTGTTGTTTTATCCTGGGCTCTATTTGCATGTGAGCTTCAGATTCATCTTTGGCTCCTTGCACGGTTTGGGATGAGACCCTCCTGTCCCCAGAGAGGGGGGCAGGTGTTGCTCCAGTCGAGCGAATGGAACCAAATTACAGGACCGTCTGTCGCCTCCTCTGGGAGCCGGCAGAGGGAGGGGAAGAAGGGGAGGGGAGCGGGTTGCAGTATGACAGAAAAGAAAAGCAGAACATCATACTGATGCCGATAAGAGCTTGAAAACACGAGTTACCCCAGCCCACAGCCCCACCCAAAACCAGGCAGCAGCCACCTGAAAGAGAAATATTAGGAGCAAAGACAGAAATAAATTGAGTCACTGGGCTGGAATAACTCAGGCTTAAAATGAAAGAGAGCTCAGACTTC